GAAAAGTTATAAAATCCCTATTAAAATCCCTATACAATCCCCCCCCTAGGCCAATCCCGCTTGATGGAAAAGCCATGTCTTGAGGGCACGGCGGAAGGAGGGGAGATCCGGAATAGTCCGGATCTCTGGGGGAAGTTCATTCCACAGGGTGGGGGCTCCCACAGAGAAGGCCCTCCCCCTGGGGGTCGCCAGCCGACACCTTTTTATATGCTTTTGTTAAAATCTGTAGTAGGTTACAATTAAAGTGGTACATGGGCACCTGAAGGATATCCGTAAACGTCAGCTGGTGCGAAATGCAGCAGGGTAGGCTACTTGGTTACCAGCTTGTTTCTGGGTCTAATTCAGGGCACTGGTGTTGAGTTTAAAGCCCTACATAGAACGGAAGAGGTCACCTGAAGGCTCCGCTCAGCTTAGAAAAAGAAGGGAATGTTTTTGATCTCTGGATCTTGTGCTTGTTTCCTCCTTTCTCATAGGCTTTGTGGATGGGAGTGTAGCGCTTATCAAGGGGGACATTACAAGGGACCGGCATAGTAAAACTCAAGTCCTACAGGAAGGAGGCCACCCAGTTACTGGGCTTGTGTTTCGCCAATCAAGCAAAACAACTCATCTGTTTGTAGCTACCACTGGGAGAATTCAGGTATGCTATTGGTCTACTGGGCAGTGACCAACAGATGTGGCAGAACTTGGGTTTGACCCATTCTTTGCCTGATTGGATTTCTGTCCTCACTGCTGCCCTTTTCCTTTTCCTTGGCTTTGCAGTGTTACACACTTTCAGTGAAAGACTGTCCATTGCTGGAACTGGACATGCGTGGCTGTGGACTGCGCTGCTCCACGCTCAGTGATCCCTCCCAGGACCTCCAGTTTATAGTGGCAGGAGATGAATGTGTATATCTGTACCAGCCAGATGAGCGTGGGCCTTGCTTTGCTTTTGAGGGTCAGAAGCTGATTGTCCATTGGTATCGAGGCTATTTGATCATCATGTCCAAGGACTGGAAAGCATCTCCCAAGTAAGTTTGTTTTATTGCTGGGATGGGGCTTTGGGCATTTAGACGAAACCCCTCTAAATACAGGTGCGTTTCTGAACATTCCTAATTGTGCTACTAATTTGTACTTCCAATAAGCATTCTTGTCCTTCATTTCTTCACATGTAGCAGAACAATTTCAGCTTTGCTTTCCAGACTGTGTTGGAACTCTTCATTTTCTGAGAGTTGTGACTGGGATTGTAAATAAATGATGGAGAATATAATTGCCACTATGTGCCTAAAAGCACATGACTGATTTTGGAAATACTCAGAGTTTTCAGTAAGATTTAAGGTGTCATAGTTTGTGGAATTATTTGATGGTTGTATCTATGCTTAAAAAGAAGTGTAGAGCAGCCCACTGTCTCTGCTGAGCGCATCACTCCCTTTTTCAAAAAAGTGCAGCCCCTTATTGGCATCACTCTTTGGAAGGGTGCAGGCTAGTGGTCGGTGGCCAAGGCTGCAGCTCTTCCTTTACTGAGGACACAAAAATGAGCTCACAGTCTCTGTAGTTGAGGCTGTTTCTGTTTGAAAGGCTTAAATGTAAGGTGGAAGCTCAGCTTTTGCTCTTCCTTCTCTCTGCTCCAGATCCGAGTTTCCTGGGGGAGATCCACAAAACTCTGACAAGCAAATCCTGAATATTTATGACCTGGGCAATAAGTTCATTGCCTACAGCTCTGTGTTTGATGATGTGGTGGATGTCCTGGCAGAGTGGGGATGCCTCTATGTGTTGACGAGGGATGGGAAACTCCATGTGCTGCAGGAGAAGGATACGCAGACCAAACTGGAGGCAAGGGATTCTTCTTTGCTTTTTCTGGAGCTTGCTGGGGCAGTGAGAGAGGGGCTCTTGGGCAAGTAGCTACAGCGCATGCCCTGATCTGGTCCTCGGGGAACTTGCTTTAAGGCTTGCAGAGTTCTTTCCACACCAACATGTGTACAAGGCTCTGAGGAGGGGGATGGACTTGACAGTCTAAATATCCTCACTGCTTCTTGCAAATGGCTGGAGAGAGCAGCTTTGACTAGAACCTCTGCCTGGAACCTTTCCTGAACCACATCTTCCTTTTAACAGATGCTCTTCAAGAAGAACCTTTTTGAAATGGCCATCAACCTGGCTAAGAGTCACCACCTGGACAGCGATGGGTTGTCCGAGATCTTTCGCCAATACGGAGATCACCTGTACAACAAGGGCAACCATGATGGTGCTATTCAGCAATACCTCCGGTGGGTAATATTAAAGAATTAGGTGCAGATTTGGCCTCCCTCTCTCATGGGGCTTGGCATCGATGGCAAAACTTCTCTGGGATCATAAAGCGGGGTTAGTATCCAACTAATTTGCATCTTCTTGCATGCTTCTCTTCCTTTTGCTGTCCTGTTAAGAGGGAGGTTCATAAGATGGCAAATCTGTCCAAATGGGGACTGCAAATCAATGTTTCCAGTGAACACCAGTGCTGAGATAGATCAGAATGAAGGCTGGATAGGTCCTGGCTGGTGAGAGTATTTTTTCTCATCAAATAAATGGAAGGACTGCCTAGGATGTAAACAAAGTTTGGAGATCTATGGCGCGCATCAACTCAGGATGGGAATATCTTTAGTAGGGTGCTCTTGAGAGAGGATTCAGACTGATGAAACCACCTATTATTAATGCCTGCTTTCTTTCCGCCCTCTCCTCCAAACTGGTCTTTACTTGCTTTCACTCTAGTGGCGCCAAGGGCTGGAGCTGCTCACTTGTTTGTGACCTACATCTTTTAATCCCAGCAACTGGGACTTATGCTCTTTTCCTAGCACTATTGGGAAACTGGAGCCATCTTATGTCATCCGCAAGTTCCTGGATGCTCAGCGGATACACAACCTGACTGCTTACTTGCAGATGCTCCACTTGCAATCACTGGCCAATGCTGACCACACCACCCTGCTGCTGAACTGCTATACCAAGCTGAAAGACATCTCCAAGCTGGAGGAATTCATCAAGGTGATGAGGCAAAGGCACTTCAATGCTTTTTCTTCTAGATACCAAATGGCCCTTCTCTATGAATCCCTTCCACGGATGGAAGTCCCTGACTTTTACAGGTGTCTCTTCTGGCATGGTAGTTTATGCTTATCAGTTTCACGAAGAATGGTTATGTTGATGTTCTTTACATATAGTCTTCTGAAAATTTTAATCTGTCTTCTCTGCCCGAGTTGCCAGAGTTTTCCTGTGCAGATGCAGAAAATCTTGTGACATGAGATGCATCCTCCCTCTGGTAAGGATGTCACTTCAGTCCTGGAGTGAGGAAACCTTAGAAAACTTCCATTTGCAAGGGAACAAACAGCAGTTATGTTCTCCCTTCAGCTGATGGGATGACTTAAGTAGAGTTCTCTTTTCTCTTAACTTTGAAGAGGGTGAGCAGTGAAGGCCTTCCTCCTCTTCTGCAGGGCATTTGGGCATGAGGGAGCCTGGAAGGCTTCATTTGAGGTTTAGCTGATTCAGTCTGGGTTGACTCCATTCTCTTTGTCCCTTCTGTAGACCAGTGAGAGCGAGGTGCACTTTGACGTGGAGACAGCTATAAAGGTACTTCGCCAGGCAGGCTGTTGTTCCCATGCTGTGTACCTGGCTGAGAAGCACAAGCACCACGAGTGGTACCTGAAGATCCAGCTAGAAGATATCAAGGTGAGGCCTGCCTGGTTGTTTCTGGACTTCTTGTTCGGCAGCCGAGGAAAGAGGGGAAGTGGAGAATGTAAGCCTGTTCTGAAATTGGCTCAACCTGGAGAAGCATCACCACCAGCATATATGTCAAGCCATAGGTAAAACCTTTTTCAGTGCCTGATTTCTCGGTCTTGCAGAACTTCCAGGAGGCCCTGCGTTATATTGGCAAGCTGCCCTTTGAGCAGGCTGAGAGTAACATGAAGCGCTACGGCAAGATCCTCATGCATCACATCCCCAATGAAACCACTGAACTGCTGAAGATCCTCTGCACAGACTATCGGCCAATGAAAGACCACGAGGGTTCTGGCCTTCTGGCGGAGCAGAGGGTATGGGCTGAGGCTTGGAGGGAGAAGTGGCAGGCTGAAGTGGGATTTGGGGCACAGTACCACTTGCCCAAGCGATGGGGCTGAAGTGTCTTGAGCCCAATATCATGAAAGGCTTTAAAATAACATGAAACCAAATCGGTGGTAGTAATTTGCGTATAGCCCGGGAAAAGGTAAGGATGTTGACAAAGTGGGAAGGGGCAGGCAGGGCACACAAATCTCGGGCTTCCTATGAAAATCTCAGAGTCTTTGTGCTGTTGCCCATTAGAGCAATTCTATTCTTCCTCTAGTTTCACTGCAATGTTTCCTGTGGTTCCCACTGCACCCAGTGGATGCGTCTTGTAGGGAAATGTGGGTGTTCTGGGAGGCAGATGGCTCTGAGGGTTTAGGAAAATTTTGCTATCTGACTTTCTCTCCCTTCTGCTCTCCCGCCTGTTTCATGATGTAGGCAAATCCTGATGAATTCATTCCCATCTTTGCTAACAACCCCCGGGAGCTGAAGGCTTTCTTAGAACACATGTCTGAGGTTCAGCCAGATTCTAAGCAGGGTGTATATGACACCCTGCTGGAGCTCCGTCTCCAGAACTGGGCCCATGAACAAGATCCACAGGTACGTCCTGGGAGATTGCTAAGTGTATGTGGTCATGGGGGCCCTGGAGTCTATCTGACATTCAAGAATGTCCTCTTGGATCTTCCCAGATCAAAGAGAAGCTGCACAATGAAACCATTCTCTTGCTGAAGAGTGGAAAGTTCCAGGAGGTCTTTGATAAGGCCTTGGTCTTGTGCCAGATGCATAATTTCAAGGATGGGATCCTTTACCTCTACGAGCAGCATAAACTGTGAGTGCAGATGAGCGAATCCTTTGTTACTTGGAAAGGGGAAAGAAGGCTGGCTGGTTTTAAACTGGTCTAGTTGGTGGTCCTCAGGCTCTTCACCAACTCTTGTCTGCCCTCTGTATGTCTCGCTTCTCTCCAGTTTCCAGCAGATCATGCATTACCATATGCAGAATGGGCAGTACCGGAAGGTGGTGGAGGTTTGCGAGCTGTATGGGGAACAAGAGGCCTGTCTTTGGGAACAAGCACTTGGCTACTTTGCCCACAAGGAGGAGGACTGCAAGGAGTACATTGCGGCTGTGCTCGCACGCATCGAAACCAAGAATCTCATGCCTCCTTTGCTGGGTGAGGCCAGATTCTGCCTTTGGGCTGAGGGTGCCGACGGCAGTTAGCTGAGCGCCGGCATCTTCTCTTCTGGCAACAGAACCAGAGAAGATGTTGCTTAGCCTTGCCCACCCTGGGAGCAGTGATTTTGTAGAAGTTGGTGATGGGGAGCTATTTTCTGATTTTAAAGTGGCCATCGCCGTTTACATGTGGGTGGAAAATATCTGAGCAATTAGTCCTATGACAAAGTTACCAAGTTTTGACTTGTCTTGATCTTGGAGGACTCTCACAACTGGGCAGCTGTGTCCTTGTACAGCAGCCCCTGCTCACACTCTTCTCCATACCGGTTGTGCACTCGAGGAAGAGAAGCTGAAAGCCTGTGCCTCACTGCCAGCCTGTGAATGGGAGTGGGAAAATATTTTGTTGGACTTTAAAATAGAAAAAAGGGGTATTTCAGTAGTTTAATCCATTTGATAAACAGTACTCGTCTCTTCCAAAAGGTGGGAGCCCCTCTCTTTAGGCGCACACAGATGAAAACTTGAGAAAATAATAAGCTGGAAAGGCATCTGATCCAGCTCTTACATTTTGGGGGTTTATATGCTATTTTTTAATATTATTGTTATTACTTCAAAAGTGATTTTAACAACACAGGAGCAGCTAAGTTTATTTTTGGATGGGTTGCTGAAATGACTGAGACATAGTCTGGCAGAAAAACACACGATAGCAATAGTACTTAGACTTATATATTGCCCCATAGCATTTCACAGCACTCTCTGGGTAGTTTACAATGTAAGCATTATTTACATATTGCCCCCCAAAATCTGGGTCCTCATTTTACTGACCTCAGAAGGATAGAAGGGGTCAAACTTGAGCCAATCAGGATCGAACTCCAGGCTGTGGGCAGAGTTTGCCTGCAATGCTTCACTTTAGCCACTGTGCCATCAGGGCTCCTGCGAGCACCCTGATGCACTTTTTGACTCAGATCAGTATTATTATGGAAGAAGCAATACAGCTGATAGAGGATGGCAGCTGCACCCCTATTCTTTTCTGCCCTGATAGGTGTCTCTTTTCTAGTTGTGCAAACTTTGGCTCATAATTCCACGGCCACCCTGTCAGTCATTAAGGATTATCTCATCAGCAAACTGCAGAGACAAAGTTGCCAGATAGAGCAGGATGAACAAAAGATCCAGAAATACCGGGAGGAAACCAAGCGGATCCGCCAGGATATTGAAGAACTGAAAACAAGGTAGCTATAGAACCTGCTGCTCAATCTGTCCCAGAGATTCCATCCTGGATTCCATCCATCGCCCTGTTCTGCAGGGTGATGCAGTGTGGAAATAGAAGTGGTTAATCAATTGGAAAAGGGGGCGAAATCTCTTGCAAAAAAGTTGAGCAGAAATTCCAATGCTTGGAAGGCTGCTGCTTTTGCCTTCCTTCCACTGGATGGGAGTGCAGGCAGTGTATTCATCCAAGGCTTAGAGGTCAAATCAAAGGAAAACTGGGACTGTAGCAGCATTGGGTGACTAGTGCCAAGGGGGTGCCCCAAGTTTGTTGACTTTTTTCCTCTAGTCCAAAAATATTCCAGAAGACAAAGTGCAGCATCTGCACCAGCGCTCTGGAGCTGCCCTCAGTGCATTTCCTGTGCGGCCATTCCTTCCATCAGCACTGCTTTGAGAGCTACTCGGAGAGTGGGTCAGAGTGCCCCACATGCCTTCCTGAAAACCGGAAAGTCATGGACATGATCCGTGCCCAAGAGCAGAAGCGAGACCTGCACGATCAGTTCCAACACCAGGTGGGTTCCTGGGCGGGCTCTGGTGTTTGTAAACAGGCTCAAATTTTCTCGTCCCTGCCAAACATCCTTTTCTTTTGGCCTCCGGCAGCTGAAATGTTCCAACGACAGCTTCTCTGTGGTTGCTGATTATTTTGGCCGTGGTGTTTTCAACAAACTGACCCTCCTCACAGACCTTCCTCCAAGCAAGTCGGCCGCAGTGCTGGATGCCAACTTGCAGCGGGACCTGCTTGTCAAGACAAAGAGGAGCACCTAGAAGTCCCTTCGTCCAGATGGGTTTACTTTGTGGAGCTGGGAAGCGGCAGAGACAGACCCAGGCGGGGAGGGGAAGAAATGGGACTCAGGGACAGGAAGCCTGCTGGCTGTCCTTGGCTCTCCCTCCTCCCCAGGACGGGCTGAGGGGTGGTGGTGCAACTTTCTCTGGCGGAAACAGCCCGACTGGGGCTTTGGTTCTGGGCCCTGTCTGGCCGCTGACTCTCAAACAGGCCTGAGCAAAGCCTCTGGCCAGGCCTGCCAGGGCCACAGTGGCAGCTGCGACTGCTGCCTTGGAGGGGGGAAGAACAGCGGGGGGGGGGGCAGGGAAAGGCCGCCCTCCCTCCTTGAGGGTTCATAGTGTGACTGCATGACTGACTAAAGGGCACTGCTTCCACCTGCCTCCAGGCCTTCTTTTGCGTGGGGGGCTGGGCAAGGGTCCCTGGCTTGGGCGAGGTGTCCCACCGGCCCGGAAGTCTCTCTGATCGCATATGTTCAGCTTCTAGTCATTCACTCACATACTGATGGGCCTGGAAAATTGCCACACTCGAATCACTTTCAACCAAACATTGAGGCAGAATCGGTTCTTTAGAATTCATGGAGACCCAGTTAATTTAAAATAACACCAAACTTTATTGATTACAAAGTGTATCTCTTTGCTTTTCACACACACACCCAGGCAGGCTTCCGGACCCCAAAGTCCTTGCTTTGTTGGTGGGGCTCAGGGAGGGGCTTCCCATGTGCTCAGACCCAACTTTTGTCAGATTCAAGTGACATTTTTTCCTTTCCTTCTTAACTACTTTCCCTGATGGACCTTTTCCTGGCTTTTGTTCACCTTGCTTATGTGCTTGTTACACCTTTCAGTTATACTGGCTTACCCATTTCTTCCCTGGCATCAAGTTAAATTGGAGATGCCACAGAATGGGGCTCACCCATCCCCACTCAGAGTTAGCCACAGCGAGTTGTCCCAGACTCCTTGAGCCAATTCTACAAACACTGTTGTTATAACTGCTGCAGGGCTTCTGGGCATTGTCCCAGGAGGAGTATTTTGAAGAGAATGTAGGTCTTCCTGACTTGGATCTTGAGAAACAAAGTGGGGAAGCCTCAGTTTGTGTCCAGGTACACCTGTAGATTAAGCCAAGAGAGAAAAAGGACAAAAGAGGGACTGGTGCCACCTTTGCTTTAATGTCACTTGGAATAGCTTAAGACACTGGTTCCCAACCTTTTTTATACCCTGCACCCCTAGAATGCTTCTAATATATTCTCACACCCCTTACAAAAGTTCAAAATAATGGCAACGAATTATGTATATACACTATAAATTGAAAACCCATTTTTTCGCACCCACTGGAGTATCATCTCGAACCCCTGGTTGGGAACTCCTGGCTTAAGAGATTCGTAAGAGATTCTGGGCTCCTAATCAATGCATCCTCCCCAGGTTTCACAGTGAGCACCAGAGTGCGTGGGAAACCAAACAGGATTTCATAGGGACTATATCCAGCTGGAGATGGAGCTTCTATTGGCTCCTAGAATGGTTGGCAAAGTCTGCCCATGCATGTGGGTGTTGGAGACAAGAATTTCCTTATTCCCAGTTGTGGGGCAAAGGCTTCAAAGAGTTGAGTAACAAAAGATGTGCCCCTATCTGTTGAAATCTGGAATGGCACGCTGCAGTGACAAAAGACCTGTGGGTGCAACAACCTTGCAGTGCGGTCTCCAATTTTATTGCATATGGAGAAGGCTTCCACCCATTCAGAAAAGCACTCAATGTAATCCAGGAAAATTGTGTCCCATGTACCAATATGTCTTTGCCCATAGAATGGAAGTTTGCAACTTAGGAGTAGCTCCCATTTTGAACTTGGCATCCCAGACAATTAACAATGTGCTGACCCCTTTGCCACTGACTGGGCCCCATTAGAACTAGATGTGCCTTCAGCAAGATTTTCTTTGCTCCTTCATGGGCCATGTTGTGCAAGTTCAAAATAATCTGTTCCTGTTCCCCCAACTTAGTTTCCCCTACTAAGGCATATGCCTGTTGAGCAATCTAGTTCTGCCTCTTGTGTGCTGTAAAAATTTGGCTAGAGTTCCAAACTTTACATCTCTGGTAGAAACAGCAACACAGGAGGTATTTTGGGTCTCATCCTCCCACTGTGAAACTCCATCAGTAAACCAGATTTCCTTGCCTGGGGTTAGAGAAGCTAAAAGGGGCACGAGGTTTTAGATAGTCTGACCCTAAGCAAAATTCATGTTCAAGAATGGAAGCAGAAAACAGATCGGGCTTAGATAAATTATTCTTCTCCCATCTGAAGTCAGAATGGGCTAAAGGGGGCTATTAAAGGGGTTGACTGGTTTATTTCAAATACCTTCCTTTTCTAAGCTGCAAGTAGCCTGTGTGATCCCTGTTTCATCAGCCTTTGGTTGGGTATTTCTGGGGGTTACAAGGGGCCTGGTGATCTCTCTGTGCACTGACAAGTGTCCTACACTGGCCATAATGGGCTTGGTTAACCCCTTGAATCAAAGCCCCCCCCCAGTCAGAGGCTTGTAAGGCAGACAGGGCTGTAATAGAGATTTTCTTAGTCAAAGGAAAGTGTTTGATACAAGATGTTTCACTCCAGTATCTAACAGAGCTTGCTTAAGATCATTGTGGATTAAAACAGAAAAGTAATTCCTCATGTCTTTAGGGTCTTTCAAATGTTTTCCCAGATACCGCCTGGCAAGACCCATGTGTTTATCTGCCTCTGTGTGTGTATGTGTGTGTGTGCCATCTCCATCCACCGCTCCCTGCCCTTGTCACTCCACACATTCCTATTGTCTTCCTGCCTTATTTCCCATCTTTCATTACCTTTCTGCATCTGCTTATCCAGTCCGGGATTGCTCGGGATGCTGTAGCCCACCCAGCAGTCCTTTTAAAGATAGGGTGCTGCATGATGTTGCCTGTAGTTTGACACTCATCCCCATTATTAAGGGGCTCTACTCCAGCTATGAACTGGTACCATAAATAGCGATGGCAGTTTTTTAAAGGATCCTCTTTCCCCTGCCGATCCCCAATGGTCCTGCACCATGTTTTGGAACCCCTGTAAGACACTGAAGCGGTCAGCAGGCTTGGAGGAATTAGGATTTCTCCAGGTGTGCTGTTTATATGGACTTCAGGATAGGTTAATATGATCTGCTCAATCTCTTGGTCAGACAAACTACCAGAGGCTGTGTAGCTTCCAGGTCCATTTGAGGAAATTGGGGCTCAAGACCCTCAGATCTGTAGCAATCTGTTTCAGCTCTCCTGATAAAGGAGTATGAATGACTACTTATTCCCACTCTTCCAACTGCTGGTTTGGGGCATTTCTGTGCCCTGTTTGTACCAGGGTTTCCACTGCAGCTATTGAAGCCTGGGAAACTATTGCTTAATTCCTCAAGAAGCTCCCCATCAGACAAAAAGTCTGGGATTTCATCAGGATCTGAGCCTGTTAACCAGGCAATTTGGTAAGATTGCTGCCTTATTTGTCTGCGCAGTTCCCCAAACTTACTACAGTACATTCTCTACAAGCTGGGTGCTTATTCCTTGGCGAGGTCTGCACAAGGTCCTTTAAAGCTTGCATTTTTAATTCTTGCACAGCATTGTTTTATTACTCTTCGCTTTGCCTCTTCCCTTGCTAAACTATTCATCAGTTGAGCCAAAGTCTCTTCGTTCTGTCAGTTGGCTCTTTTGCAGCTGGTAATCAGTCTGCAAAACGTGGTGGTTACATCTGAGTCACCACAGCTCCAGGTCTTCTTTCGAAGAGGAGCTCTCCGATCGGATCGGCCGGAGGAGAAGCCCCATTCGGGTCAGCCCTGCCCCCTATATTAGGGCCACCACTCCAAGTTCATCTTTCTGTTTCTTGGCTCCTCTTTTCTACCTTAGCATCTCTCCCTGGATGCACGGACTCCTGATTCAGGTGACGCTTCTTCCTTGACGACTTGGTTGTAGGACAGCTCCAACACCAGGTGGGTTCCTGGGCGGGCTCTGGTGTTTGTAAACAGGCTCAAATATTCTCGTCCCTGCCAAACATCCTTTTCTTTTGGCCTCCGGCAGCTGAAACATTCCAACGACAGCTTCTCTGTGGTTGCTGATTATTTTGGCGTGGTGTTTTCAACAAACTGATCCTCCTCACAGACCTTCCTCCGAGCAAGTCGGCCGCAGCGCTGGATGCCAGCTTGCAGCGGGACCTGCTTGTCAAGAGGAATAGGAGCACCTGGACGTCCTTCCGTCCAGATGGGTTTACTCTGGGGAGCTGGGAAGCGGCAGAGACGGACTCAGGCGGGGACGGGGAGGAACACGACCAGGGACAGGAAGCCCGCTGGCCGGCCTCGGCTTTCCCTCCAGGACGGGCGCCAGGCAGGGCCCGGGCGGGGTGGTGCAACTTTCTCTGGTCGAAACAGCCCGACTGGGGCTTTGGTTCCGGGTCTGTCTGGCCGCTGGCTCTCAAGCAGGCCTGAGCAGAGGCTCCGGCCAGGCCTGCCAGGGCCACAGTGGCAGCTGCAACCGCCGCCTCGGAGGGGGGGGGGAAGGCCGCCCTTCCTCCTCGAGGGCTCCTGCTGGTGCGGCTGCCCGGCTGCCTGAAGGGCGCCGCTTCCACCGGCCTCCGGCCTTCTTTCGCGCGGGCGGGCCGGCCCGGGCGAGGGTCCCGGGGCTGGAGGTTCGCCGACTACGGGGCGGCTCGGGCGAGGTGCCCACCTGCCGGGAAAGGTCGCCAGCGCGAAGGCGCCCTCCAGGAGACCGGAAGAGACGGCTCGGAAAGCCCTGGAAGTGACGTCACACGGGAGGCTCGACGCACTCGTCCGGCGAGGTGACCCGGTCTCGGCTCTCGTTCCGCCGGCCCCGCCGTCCTTTCGTCGGCATGAGCGGCCCGCCGCCGCCGCCGCCGCCGCCCCCGGCCCCGGTGAGCGCAGCCCTCCGCCCTGTCCCGCTTGCCGCCTCACCTCACTGCGTGGCCCCCTTTCCCCGCGCCGCCCCCTCGGCCCGCCCCTGCCGCCACCCCCCTTATCGCGCATCCCAGAGCGGGGCGGCGCCTGCGGGCGGGCCGG